AATTTACGTATAGAAACGTTTTCTCGTTCGAAAGGGAGGAAGTTTAGGGGATAGGGAGGAAGGGAGAAGGGGGAGGGGGTTAAAATTCGTGTTGAATCACACGGAAAGGCCATATAGACTTTTATATGGGTGCTCCTAACTGATGTATGCGCAAACGTTGCCCGTATCCACTTACTTCCTCGTTTGGCAGAAGATTTCGAACGATTTAAAATAGGTCACTCTCTTACGATTCTCCTCTCGTCCTATTACAATTGAATGCGTACACAAGCGAATAAAAGGATGATAGAAAGAAGAGAATGGAAATGGTTAGATAAGGAACGCGAGTCGTGTCAGAAAACGTTTTCTTTCTTGAAATCGCGTCCGATCTTTGACGATTGCGTGGGAATCAACGATATATATATATATATATATATACTTTAATGGTAGAAACGTAGAAGGTTGACCTTTCGAAGATGACATTCCTTTCATTGTGAAAACGGTTGAATCAGAACGTGACCTTTAGTAACACTGAAAATCTCTCTCTCTCATTCAATTTTCTTCCATCGCTTATGACATTTTGTTTGATTATTTATTGCCAATGAAACGATTAAACTGATCGGTCACTCGTAATAATATTTTACTTTTCAGAAATATACTGAAAAAATAAAAAAAAGATAATCATTGCGAAAGAACAAGACTGTTTTCTTCGTATATATATATATATATATATGTATGTACGTACCATCATAAGTATGTGTAAGAAAAAAGATTATCGTTGAAGAGTTTTTTTCGGTATGTCAGTTTTAACGAAAATCATCGTATGTGCGCGTCGATTTTTAACTTGGTGGATCTTTTCTTGCTTTCTTTCTTTCTTTCTTTCTTTCTTTCTCTTGTGCGTGGTATTACAGCCCACTCGGTGCGAAAGCATGAAAGGGCACCCTTCATAAATATTTCCAATAAATACCAACGATATCTACCGTTGCCCAACCGCCCACGTAAACGCGAGTTTCTCTACCAAAAGATTCTTACGTTTCTCGACTGTGATCAAGTATTTTTTCAATATCGATGAAATGAAACTCCGAGAATGACCATTCGTCTATTAGCTTTTTCTTTCTTGTCCCTCTTCCTAGAAAACTGTTCCACCTCTATCATCCGATTTTCCCTTATATTCCTTTATTGAAAAGAAGAAAAAGAAGAAGAAAAAGAAAGACATTTGAAAAAGAATATTCATGGAATTGCAACTTCCTGCCCGGGTGCTGCGGTAGGTCGGATCGAATCCGTCGATTTTAAGGATGCACAGTAAGGATTTTTAAGGGTCCAGTTAATGGTGGTGGTGGATACCTGCGATGAGATAGACGCGTGTCCTGAATGTATTTCGGGCTCATACGGAAAAAAAGAGGAAGATGAGAAGAAGGTGGAGCGAACGGTAGGGAACGGAACATAACAGAATGTTACGGAATGGAATGAAACGGTACGGTACGATACGATACGATACGATACGGTACAGAACGGAACAGAACGGAACGGAAAGATGGAATAAGTGCATTTGGGGGTCTCGTCACAAAAGGCAAGTACAATGCGACCGCATCTCGTCCACCGATAATCCTGATTTAGACTTGGCCATATATTAGATTAAGGATCGTGAAATTGAATGGTGGAATCAGCGCCATGGAGGGAACGATTTAACTTCAAATCCCGTGCGAAAAATAAACTCCTTCGAAAAGGACTCGAACATGAGAGTCAGTCTAAGGTTGGCTCGGTAAATTTCACAGGTGGGCAGAAGAGATTTTGACTCGTTCGTTCTTCCTTCCATCTATCTCTTCTCTCTTTCTCTCTTTCTCTCTTTTCAATTCTTATTTTATCCTTGATTTTTCTTTCTTTTTCTTTTACTTTACTTTACTTTTCTTCTCTTCTTCGATCACGCGGTATTTCTCTCGTTCTCCGTTCGATTCATTAACCAAGGCGCCATTCCCGAGTCCTTTCCCAAAGGAGTGCCGTGCTTCTATCCCGAAGGAGGCTCGTAAATCTCCGTATTTACTTCGCGTACTTTCTCCTTCTCTTTCTCCCATTCCCCCTTTCTGTTTTATTCTTTTTCTTATATTCAAAGCGTAAATACGTAAATCTTCGTTCGACCGTAGGACGAACGTCATCGTATCTCTTTTATCGTTATCATTCGCAACGTTCATTCATTTTTATCATCGATATTGCGCTTGATAACCGGCAAAAGCCACTTGAGTACTTTTATGATCGTTTTTTTTTTTAGTCACGTAATTAATCGTTTGTTTTTTTTTGTGTGTGGGTTCCCGTCAAGATGACTTAATTTTAGAAAACTTTCACTTTATTAATATATCTCTATTTATAATTAATATATTAATTATATTAGATATGTGAATTATATATCTATGTTATTATTAAAATATTATCTATGCTAAATAATAATAATAATAATAATCACATATATACAATTAGTGTAAACATTTTATATGTATGAAGTTTTAACATTAATAAACAAAGTATATTTAAAGTAAGCTAATTTGTTAGTAAAGTTTACTTTTAGGGGTTTTTTTTTGGGTACACCATACGACAAGAAAAGTATCTCACGCCTAGTCAACGTCTCGGATTATTACGTTCGAACATGAAAGCGATAGGGCAACGGGGGCCCATTATTAATGCGACCGATACTCATTCCGTACTCATCCGTAGATACGATCTCTCCGCCCAGCCAATCGGATCGCGCGGTCTAAACCCGTAATTACCATTAGCCCACCCATAGCGGGTGCTATGCTAAGGTAAGAAGAGGACTTTAAAGGAGGGGAAACTTTCAATTTACGTGCCCCTCTCGACGATGATTCTCGGTGAGCTTCGTTTTACACGCGTCTCTTTTTAGTCACTTATAAATTCAACGAATATGATTAGACGTTAGATAATGAACAAATTAATGATGCCTTTTTCTAAATAATATAGATTTATTTATTACTATTTGTACACGATACTCTGATAATAATATAGGGCTTGATATATATTAACATTGGATAAACGTTGCTACAATATTTAATATAATTTCTATATGTTATTAGGGTGAACCAAGAGTTTGAGATGTTTTCTTTTTTTAATAATATTTTCAATGTAAATTTTACAAAAATAATTCATTGTGCAGTTTTTTCAAGGTAAAATTTCGACATAATAAACGCACGAATTTTTTTTCTTTTCTTTTTACCCTAAAAATATAATTTTATTTATAATAAATAAATATTATTTTTTTTATATTAATTAATTTATTTATTTTTTTCGATATAACATATTTTGTACACCTATCTTAGTTTTTGTATAATATAGTGTTCTGAAAACATGTGTAAAAATAATGACAACTTGTTACTTGACGATAATACCTAATGCGAATATCATCATTTCCCTTGATTAGTAATATTTGAAAAAAATTTAAATGTATCATTAAAACATTAGTAGGTTTACAACGTATAGTCAAAGTCATTTCGAATATCTTAAAAAGAAAAAGAAAAGAAAAGAAAAGTATTAAGATACTTCGAAGATACAACATCATTTTAAATCGTGTAAAATACGATGATTAATAACGTGCCATGGGTTATATCATACGACTGTTAGTCTTATTAGTTCTCGAAAGGATATCACGTGCGAAGGTGTGTATCGAAGAAAATCGCTGGATCATCATTCTCTGGTTTATTTCGGAAGCGTGCCTTTGACTCCTTGTGTGTGATTATCGGCATGGTCACGTATCGTTATCCACCACGAGATTTTTGGGCCAATCAATCAAGCGAAAAAAAAAAAAGAGAGAGAGAGAGAGAAAAGAGATGCATCCCGATCTACTACCAACACAGAAACGAACGCATGCATTCGTGCGATTCGTGTTGCATTCTCGCGCCATTAATTATCGTTGCCTGCACGGATGACTCGCATTTTATTACTTCGTTGGTAACAACTTTAATGCATTAGGTAGACTCGATTATATATATATTTGTGAAAAACAGAGTCATCTAAAGTGATCATCTGTTTTTACATCTTTCTCGAGATATATTATAAAATTTGGATATGTAAATATTATTATATACTAATTCGATCATTTTTTATAACATTTTTAACACATTGTTGATCGATAATTTTATATGCCAAATTTATCTGACGAATTATTTCATAATTAATATCTTATCTGTTGTTAGATTTTTATATCGATGATTCTAAATATATAATATATTATTTATTAGGAATTAATTATTTTATTTTATTTTTTTTTTTTTTTTGAAGAAATATTATAAATATATGAAATTATTAATTAATTATTTAATAACAAATTACAAATCTATCAATATATACAAAAGGCGTAAATATACATAGGCCCTATGTATTTTTTTTACTGTAACACCTTTATTACTGTATTACCGATTAATTTAACATGGAATTTATTGTAACATGTAACATAGCAATTAAATATTGGCAATTATTTCAATGTCGTTTAGTTAATTGCTTTTATATTTGAAATTCGTCTATTTTAATTTTATTCGTTCATTATAGTTTTATTATTTTTTATAATTAGGGTTAAAATTATTAACAAAAATATCCGATTAAAGTTATTATACTTCTGTGTTACAGTTATAAATTTTGTATTTTTTTCTGTTATATTTAAATTACCGATTATTATTGAAGTAATGTACAAAATAAATAAATTCAATTAAAATAGCTTAAAAAATTGCTGAAAAAAAAATTTTTTAAAATCTATATTTTTATTTTATTTGCTATTATTATCTGTTTTGATCAAAGTAGTCAATGGAAAAATAGTCGCAGTGACTGACATGCGAAAATCACAAGCGCCATTCATATTAATGGATTGGTTCGAGATCGCGCACGCAGTCAAAGGGTTAACGTAATTAATTTTGTGATCGATCGACAATGCGTTAAACAAGAGAATCACACACACACAGACACACACACACATTGTTATTTTTACAAACATACTAACTAGATTATGTGTTTTTTGTTTTCTGTTTCAGGCTATTGTTCAGAACGTAAAGCCCGAGGAAAGGTGAGTTTTATTAAGAGTAACGAGAAAGGGTGAATTTGTATTTCTTAAGCGTTAAATTTCGAATGAATTAGTGGAACGAAAATAAAATGAAAGAATGGAAGAAAAAAAGTAAGAAAGAAAGAGATAAAGAAAATAGAAAGAAATGAAGATGTTGGCGAGCGTTTAAATGTTTAATTCTTCGCGTAGATTCTCTCACTTTTTTTTTGGTTTTTTTTTTCGGAGAATATAAATCTCCGTCGAATCGTATTAAACCTTTAGTTCTCGTAATATATCTAGAATCGAAACGATTCTCTTTGCCGATAAATTCCGCACCACCTTCTTTTAATAACTTCGGGAACGCTTACGACCCCAAACGAGAGAAAAAAAAAGAGAGAGAGAAAGATAGAAAGAACAAGAGAGAGAGAGAGAGAGAAAGCGAGAATGAAAGAGAAAGAAAGAAAGAAAGAAAGAGAATAAAAAAAAAAGAGAGGGTTGTTTATTTATTGGGGTTCGTTCAGTTTCGTTTTCGTCCGCGTCCGAGAGACAAAGCGTTTGGGGCCCGTGCTCGATGTATAAAAGACAGTATAACAGAACCCGTATGCACCTGAAGAGAGAGTGAGAGAGAGAGAGAGACACTATCTCAGAAGCTTTTTGATATATCGAAGGGAATGGTGAAACTATTTGGGCCGACACCCCCGCCTTAATCCGGCCCCTTTTATTTTTGTCGGTATCCACCATGAGAAATCCCTTTCCAGCTGCGATATATCATCGAGTCGTCGTACTTGTCGTCTTCGTGAGCCCTTTCTCTCTCTCCCGTTCCTCTCCCTTTTTTTTTTTTTGTTCTTTTTTATTTCTATATATCTATCTATCTGTTTAACTATTTATCTATTTATCTGTTTTCTTTGTTTTTTTTTCGCGTTTTCGAAGAACAATTTTGTTGGACTACTTGTTGTATGCATCGATTCGTGTGTGAAATTTAAGGACGAATTTCTTTGTGTATGTATGTACATTTGTGCGGACGAGAGTGTGTATGTGTGTGTATGTGTGTGTATTTTGCGATTGACAAAGTAGGAAGACATCGTTTCCATTTTACGACGATACGATGCGATGTAATGCATCCGTTTACGATGATATCAATAAATCGAAACATTCACATTTATAATATACAAATGCATATATTATTCGTTATTACAGATTCACGGCGTCGATGATTTTGCAAGCATATCCGCGGCTCAAATTCATCGTAGATCTTACTAATACAGATCGTTACTATGACAAATCGGTAAGTGAATGATTATTTTTGTTAAATTTATTTTCACAAAGGATTGTTGATTTCATTACGATTATTTACGACGAGATTATTTACGTTGGAAATATTATTTTGTCTTACTACGTTCGCCGAAAAGTAATTAAATTCTATTTTCATTTCTATTTCGATGAGATAATTACAGTTACTTAATTTTATTTACTCATTATTTCAAAAAAAAAAAAAAAATAACATCAATAATAGTGTGTAAAAAGGATTGAAAAAAATGATGCAAACATATTTTTCTCATTAAAAATGTCTTTATTTGTAACTTAGATTAGACTAACGTACTACGTTATTTTTAATGACTTTAGGATAAAAGTATATAAATGATTTTAGATAATTTTACGTTATAATTGAATAATTGAATAATTATAAAAATTTTTTTCAAATCTAATTAAGAAATACCTTGTGTTATTTTAATTTAAAATGATCGAAATAATATCAAATTAACGACTAAAATAATAACAAATATGATTGGATTTTGATTTGACATTGGATAAAGGAAAGAAAAAATAAAACGAAAAAAAAAGAAGAAGAAGAAGAAGAAAAAAAAAGATAGGAAATATTAAAAAGAACAATTAAATAAGAATTTTTGAACATTTAAATAAATTGTTACCCCGAATAAGTAGACGTCTTTTCTTCTTCTTGTCTCTCGCGAAGGAGTAGCCGTCACCTGCTGCCACATTCCTTGATCAGTTAGATATCCAGAAGGAACGTCTCTCTCTCTCTCTCTCTCTTTTTTTTTGGACACACTCAGTTTGGTTCTCTCTTATCCCCCTTTATCTATCGTTCTTTTTTTTCAAGTTACTCTTTCTCTTTCTATCTTTCACCTATCCTCGCTCTTTCACGTTTGTCCCTCCCACCTTTCTTTCTTCCCCCCTCCCTCCCTTCCTTCCTTCCTTCTTTCCTTCCCCTTTCTCATCCTCCTTCTACTCTATTCTTCTCCGATTTCAAACGACTGATATTACAGCAGGATCAGTTCAGACTTTATTAAGCATTTAGGAACAAAACGGAACGAGAACGTTCGAAAGAGAGAGGGTTGTTGGGTGCCAGTTAATTTCTTTTAGACTCGGTTGGAAAACGAGTTAATGAACTTATTATTAGATTTTGTTTTGTTTGATGTGTGGAGTGGGAGGGGACCCAAAAGAGGAATAGTAATCGCGATTGTTGTTACTGTTGTTGTTAATAATGTTGCTTGCTTGCTTACGAGAAGAGAAAGGGGGGTGGGTGGGATATTATTGATCGAGAAATTGTTGTCGTTGACTCGGATGATCTGTTAGTTGAACGAAGAACACAATTTGGTACGGGTATTTTTTCTGGGTCAGACCTGTCACGATCGGTGGACCGATCAATTATATTAATAAGTCCGTGGCTGAGAATCTTGTTTCGATTTTCGTTTCCAATTCTTCTCTCTCTCTCTCTCTCTCTCTGTCCTTCTTTTTTATTTTCCTTCGATGTTTTGTTTTTATTTTATTTTGATTTTGATTTTGATTTTAAATGATAGTTATAGTTAAGCATCGAGCGAAATAATAAGAAATATTTAACCCATTAGCCGTCAATGTTCTTATTATTGGGTAGACATTTTTTCCAAATGTTTGTTCTTTCAATAATTGCAATTACAAAATGAGATATATATATATATATAGTCGTTGAAATAATGAAATTCGTACACCATCGCGTGTTTCATATTTTAATGAAAACAATTACGGTACAAAAGTTTCAGTTAATTATTAGGAAAATCATTATATATTTAATTTAATTTAATTTTTGTATTTTTGTATTGTGGCGAGTAAAATGGGTTGAGAGAACAGTGTTGTGCGTACAGTGGATTAACATCAATCGGTACCGCAATAGTTAAGAACAATTAAATTAATCTACCTTAACATTAGGATGTCACCCACGCCTAATTAGAACACATTATACATAATGAAGTTCGGTTCTTTTGATAATAGCTCTAATCGTCTATCATCTTTTACTAATGAGATTATTTCGACTAAATCATTTTGAATTAAAACAAAGGTGGATAGTGTATAATATAATAATGTAGTTTTTTTTTTTGTAAAGTTTAATCTATTTGTGTATGAATAGAAAACACTCGTACGTATTTATTTACATTGGAAATGTTTTTTCAATGTCTAGATTGGTCTAATGAGTTTGTCACTTTGCTGTTAGTGATAGAGAGATCAAAAAAAAAAAAAAAGAAGAAGAAAATTAGGTGGACTACTCTTGAATGCAGCCATTAGGATATTATACCCACCTAGGTGGATAGGATTTCTAATGTTCAAATAAGAAAAATTAGAAAGATCGATTATAACGACGTGATCCGTCATTGGGACACTGAGAGTGATAACTGTTGCCTGATATCGTTTATAACGGGTTTAGGTTACGACAACCTGTGGCTGGGTTTTCTGGAGAACGCAGACGAAGAGTGAAGAAAAAAAATGAGAGAGTGAGACACGGACAGGATAGATAGATAGACGGAAAGGATGAAAGTAAAAAAAAAATAAGAAATAAAAAATAAAAAAAAGGACAATCAAAAAACAAGATGTTACGTTTCTTTCATTTCGAATTTTTCACAGAATTTGGACAGAGAAACTTACCAATACTCGATTATAATAATACCTTGTAGAATATAATTGATTTAAATGATGAAATATCTTAACTGTCGTGCAAACAGTTTCCATCTTCTTATCTTTTTTTGTTTTTTTTTATCGTTAAATTCATTTTAAATGTAATTCACGTGAGATAATATATTTCGTGGCTTGTGTTAAATCTAACGTATCAAAATGAAGTATAAATAATTACGTTAAGCGAGAACATATCACGAGGCGAGATAATAGAGAGAGGTTCATGAATATTTATATCATTTTGTCTACTCTCTCTCTCTCTATCTCTTTTTCTTTTTGTTTATTTTTTCTTACTTTTAGTTAGTTAGTTAGTTCACCGTAGGAGAATAATCTTTCTAGTCTCGATGATATTAACTCGACTTCAAATAAATAAATATCTACGAACACCCATGAAGAAGATTGTTCCGTTCACATTTCGTTCGATTCATCGGTAACGTTTTTTTTTTTTTTCCTTTAAAAATATTTTGTGTGTTTTTTTTGTCTTTCTCTCTCTCATTCCCGTACAAGAACCATCCATCCATCCATCCATCGATTCTTTTTCCTTTTTTTTTTTACATTTAACTTTCAAAATTTCCCCATCGACGTACAAAAGGTTCATATATAGCGGTAACACCGAGCCCTCCCTCCTCTAACTCTTCAGACCCGTGTAATTATTCATACTATTCAAAAATTGAAGACTCTCCGACGTAATAATTAGGGAAGATAATGAATATAATCTAAAGAGAGAATTTAGGAGATAAAATGTTAAACGTTCGTATTGGTAGGTGCGAATTTTCTATAACGTGTATATCTTCTTCTCTTCGTTTGCTTATGAATAAACATGAGATCAATTTTTATATTTCATTTATATTATCCATCTCCATCTCTCTCGATGTGTTTTATTTTTCTTCTTTTTGTTTTTGTTTTGTTTTAGGAATTCACTAGTGCCGGAGTCAAGCATACAAAAATAACAATACCTGGGAAGAAAGTACCATCGTTAAATTCTGTCATGAAGTAAGTACAAAAACTGATGCAATTCTTTGCATTATTATTTTCTTTTTTTTTAATGCAAATAATAAATACTTTCGTTAATATTATTTGTTTAAATTGGTATTTGGAAAATCTCTGTATGATTATTTATTATTTTCTGTTTTATTAATATAATGATCATTAATGTTTAATTTTATTCTAACAAAATATTGGATATATATTCAAAATTAACATACTTTATATTATCACTGAATATCTTTTACAATTCATTTCTTCATTGATTTTATCTTATATTTAATATAAATATCAATGAATGTTTATAGAATAAAATGATCATCCTATGTTACATATTGCAAACTTATGAAGTAACAAACAATTAAATTAAACATAAACCAGACCCCCCTTCTTCTTCCTTTAGACACCCATTTCTTATCAATTTTTCATTTCATCTGACCTTTTTTTTTACTTTATTTTTTTTTTTTTTATTACTTTTGCATTTAACGAACTAGTCGATCTATTATCGCATCTATCGATGTATTTTGTTGACGAACAGAATTCTGAGTAAGTAAAATACGATAACAACCTGTACCCAAGAGGTAGAACTAAGCGCCACAGGTAGCATCTTCGCGTCCTGGTAAACTTTCCTTGAAGAGAGTAAGGAAAGAGGAGGAGGAGGAGGAGGAGGTGTAGAGACCATGTCGTAGTGGCATATATAGGACGGTTTGTTATATATATACCTGGTGTGTTGTAGCCGCCCTCGGCGATCTAACCGACTTACAGGCGTTTATACGACACCAAAGCCCCCTACCACCCCCTACCAGACGTTTAGTTTAGTTTAGTTTAAAGTTCTCGTTTCGTTTTGTTTCGTAGTACTTGCTTTCACGAACGATGAGATTGCAGGGCCATCTAGTTTTAATGCTAATCGTATTTCACGTTTGCCAACTTTGCTGCAGGATATTTCGAATTGCGTGTCTACCTCTCCCCCTCCTCCCCCACTCTCAAGGCCGATTCTTCTTTCGGATCTATCGATCGTTAAAAAATCTTCTCGATCTTTTATATACCTTCTCATATTTATTTATTTATTTATTTATTTTTTTTTTTCCTTGATGTTTGTTTTTATCTGAAGAAGAAGAAGAAGAAGCTTTTTTTCTTTTTTTCTCTCTCATCATCGAGCTTCCGTGTAAGCTCTTTCAATCCGTTGTCGAAGGACAACGACGAGAGTTCGGTAACAAAAATTATAGTCTTTAATTTATCGTCGTCGGTTGTTCTTCTCCCCCTCGATATTTTCGACCACTAAATTAGGTCGTAAAATGTTTGCTATATAGTCAAGAATCGTATTACACTCCACGTATTTTGGTGAATACCATTGGAGGAGAGGAGAGATAGGTCGTGCACGCGAACGCTAGTAGTAATTCGTTTAGTTATGGTTCGGTCTTGTTCACGAAATTCTACGTCGAATAAATTTTTTTTTTTTTTTTAAATGTTCTTCTTGTCGTTTCTTTTTTTCTCTCTACAACGAAGAGAGAGAGAGAGAGAGAGAGAGAGAGAGAGAGAAAGAGAGAAAAAGAAAGATCGTATCGATCGTTTTAAGGTGTCGGCGAACTTTCGATTTTCACACGCGCGCATATACATATATATATATGTGAGTATGTGGGTGTATTGCAAACATTACGTATACACTCACTTGTATACGTGGTGCACGTGTGGTACACTTGTATATTATACATATATGTATACATACACATGTGCACACGTTATATCGAAAGACACTTCCTCTTTCTCGGTCACGTTAGACCACGGTTTTTCCGTGCGCTCAGCATGCGAGGAAGGAGCACCGAACTGGCACTTTGGTCCAGGACTGTTAATTAACCGCAGTAAACGTCCGATGATTTACAGAACGTCGTGAACCTGGCGCTCGCAAAGCTCCTCGCATGTATATATATATATACTTGTAGTATTATATGCATCTACATATGCATATATGCAATGTTTTTCTTTTTTATTCTTTTTTTTAATTTTTGTTCTTTTCCTTTTATCTTCTTTTCAACTCGGATGCCACGCAATGGGGGGGAACGGGAACGTATTGGAAGATACTATATCGACGTCGACTTATGTACGTGATTCGTGCCATTTATAAAGACGACACCGCGATATTAACATCGTTCGAAAAGAGCGTTAACATTTTATCCCTCTTTTCCTTCTCTCTCTCTCTCTCTGTCTCTTTCTCTCTTCTGTTATTTTTTTCGCTAGGTTCGTTGTACTTTTGTTAACCCTTTGAGTACTGATTACTTTTAACTGAAGTCTTTAATAGGAACGGAATATTATATTAATAGTTTGTTTGTTTCGTTGAGTAATTATTTTATTATAATTGCATCTATATTAATCCTTTGACTGCTATAGGCGTATATATACGCTCTCACAAATACATCAATATACACGAAATTACCGATTAATTTAACATGGAATTTATTGTGATACGTAACATAGCAATTAAATATTGGCAATTATTTCAATGTTGTTTAGTTCATTGATAAAAATTCGTCGTCTATTTTTATTTTATTATCTTTTTATTATTTTTATAATTAGGATTAAAATTATTAACAAAAATATTCTGTTCAAGTTATTATACCTATGTGTTACAGTTATAAATTTTGTATTTTTTCTTTGATATTTAAATTACCGATTATTATTGAAGTAATGTACAAAATAAATATATTAAATTGAAATTGCTTAAAAAAAAAATTAAAAAAAAATCCATATTTTTATTTTATTTGCCATTATTATCTGTTTTGGTCAGAGTAGTCAATGGAAAAACAGTTGCAGCGACTGGACATGCGAAAATCGTGAGCGCCGTTCATATTAATGAATTGGTTTGAGTTAGAACAACACAGTCAAAGGATTAATAAAGTATAATTAATAATAATTATAAAATTCTTTTTTCTTTTTTCTTAAATAATTTTGATATGACAAGATTCAAAAGAATAATCAATACGCAAGAAAAACAACATTACATTATTCGCATTCAAACTGTAACTTGTATCAAACGCATGTATGCTTTTGTAGTACTCAAAAGATTAAACAAAATGAAATAAAGAAAAATAATAAAAAAGACAAAAGAAAAGATATAGTAATACATTAATAAAAGATTGTGAAAGATTGATGATATTTTTCGAAAATGTTTATGTTCGTTTAATATTTAACGAAATAAAGGATCGATGATAGATCGAACGGTATCGATCAAGCTCATCGATCTGTTTGAACGAGGGTGGCAAAGGAAAATAGAATGACATCAAGTTTGCAGCTTGATGCTTACGCTTCGCGTAATTAATGGTATCCTTGATAAGGATCAGATCGTGGTTACATTTTACTTTCACGATTGAAATGAGGAATAATGGAAGTCGGTTGTGATGAGAGGTGTAAACTAGGCGCCACTTACAATAATATCCTAGATATCCTTGAACTCTGAAATATCATGAGAGATGAGTGAACAAGATGGACACAAATAAAAATGTGAGGAGTGAGAGTGTGTGTGAGAGGGAAAATTTATAATGTAAGGTTGTAAAAATTGACGCTTAAAAGCATCTAAGGATTAGTATTATTTTTAACATTTCGTATTATTTCCTGCTTGTGTATAGAAATTCTAGTATCATGATCATAAATAAGGGAAATGAGAGAAAGTAAGAGTTTATAATGTAAGATCGGGAAAAGTGGCATTTAAATGCGTCCAAAAATTAGTATCCTTTGCGATATCCTTTTTAAAAAACGTTTCGTATAATTTCTCGCTTGTCTATAGAAATTCTTTCGAGGTTGTTAAGCTCGTATCGAATGGATTTATTCGGCAACTATCGTCGTCTGATTTTACCTCGAGTTTCTTCACTTTTTTCTTTTCGACAGAAGAAAAAGAGGAAAAAGAAGAAAAAGAAGAAGAAGAAGAAGAAGAATCAGAAGATCGAAGGTATCGATCCTTCGTGCTTTAGTCGAAGGACATTTCGAAGAATCTTGGTACGCGTAGAGGGAAACGTGCCGTAAAATGTCCGAGTTCTTTTCGAGTTGCATGTCCTGTTGTTATTTTTGGATCGAGAATACGTTGTGGAAGGTTAACGACATTTCCTTATTTCCTTTACGTTCTTCTTATGTATGGCTAACTCGAATTTTAAGAGATAGTATTAACATATTTACGGTCAGTTGGATCAAGGATCTTTTTGAGACACTTCAAGATTTGTACGTAAGGAAACAAAAAGCTTATTCTTATTCTTGGTTTAAAAACTCTTGATCGCATAAAATCATGGTGTTTTTTTTTTTAATTTTTATTTTTTTTTTTTTTTCAATCCGTTATTTGCTTCCAGTGTTTACTTCTTTATCGATTTAATTACTCTCTTGAGATCGTAAGAATTTAACGAGGGAAGATTCAAGGCAAACATTTGATGAGCGAGGTTGCTGCTTGTGATCACCGAACGAACGTAGGAGAGAATCATATAACACGTAAAAAGGAAATGATGGAAATCATGATACTTTATTCAAGGTGTATTCTCTACTGTAGTTTGATTTTCTTCCGATAACAAACTAGTTTAAGTCATAAGATTAATCTCGAGGACAAAATAATTTCTCGTTAGAAAATACGATTCTAATGTTTTTTGTTTTTTTTTGTTTTTTTTTTTTTTTCAGGAATTTAAGAAGAAATTTAATTGAACAATAAATTGTCTTTACGGTACATCGATGTTGGTTGATTTTTTCGAAGTATTTGAAAATACGTATAACTTTATTCACATTTTAAGTAGATAAGAAATGATTATCGTGTAAAAGAAGTTTGATTAAATCTTCAAATTTTCATTAATGTGTTATTCGATATCTCGCATCTCATATTATTATTATCTTAATATTAGAAATAATTGATCTCGAATGATTCCTATTTGTCTAATAAGATTATTTACGGATCAACGAAGAAATGAATCGACTTTTTATCATAAATGATTAATTAATTATTCATGCATTCATGAAAAAGAAAAGAAAATGAATCCCATAAA